GAAGGGACCGAGGGTCCGCAAGTTGGCCTGAGAGCCGCCCCCAGGGGGGGAAGGGACCGAGGGTCCCCATAGTTGGCCTGAGAGCCGCCCCCAGGGGGGGAAGGGACCGAGGGTCCCCACAGTTGGCCTGAGAGCCGCCCCCAGGGGGGGAAGGGACCGAGGGTCCCCAAAGTTGGCCTGAGAGCCGCCCCCAGGGGGGGAAGGGACCGAGGGTCCCCACAGTTGGCCTGAGAGCCGCCCCCAAGGGGGGAAGGGACCGAGGGTCCCCACAGTTGGCCTGAGAGCCGCCCCCAGGGGGGGAAGGGGACCGGGGGTCCCCAAGTTGGCCTGAGAGCCGCCCCCAAGGGGGGGAAGGGGACCGAGGTCCGTGAACTTCGATATTTGGCAAAAAAAAAAAAAACACTTCCAAGAGGGGTGTGGACAGGTTCTAAGTATGCTGGCCAAAGGGCCTCCTTCTTAGGGAGGGAGGATTTGCGGACTCGCAATATGAGGAATTATGTATGTGGGTTACATAATTATTGTGTATGTGGATTCGTAGTATCATTGGCCATTATGTGTACAATATGATTATAGTGAGAAAAAAAAAATGGAGCAATTTTGGTCCTAATCGGATGTCGAAGCCACAAACAATTAGTTGACTGACTTTGGTAAGGTTGGTAGAGTGCAACTACCGTACCGGTAGTAAGGACATCCATGGGATCCTACTTTATCACTCACCTACACTGCACAACGAGGAAGGAGAGAGTGTCATGCAACCATTATTCACTAGTACGATGACTTGTTTCGTCACACCTTCCGAACAATAGAGGGGAAAGTAAAACATGTACCGAATGTCAAGGTAATTTACTTGCCACTACCGTTACTCGTTACGCTTCGACAATATAATTGTTGACTGGAGCTACGAGACATCGGTAACATGGTGTGGCAGGGCAGCCAATGCACCTCTTGTCGTTTTTCTTGGGCAACCATCATATACGGTCCAGGATAGAGAGGAGCAACCGATGGGCCATGAGACGAGCAACCGATGGGCCAGGAGTCGAGCAACCGATGGGCCACGAGACGAGCAACCGATGGGCCATGAGACGAGCAACCGATGGCCCACGATACGAGCAACCGATGGGCCACGAGACGAGCAACCGATGGGCCACGAGATGAACGGCCGATGGCCCACCGATAGGCCAACGGGCCAGCAACCGAAGGGCACGAGACGAACAGCCGATGGGCCACGATACGAGCAACCTATGCGCCAAGAGGCGCGCAATCGATAGGCCAAGAGACGAGCAACCGATGGGCCACGAGACGAGCAACCGATGGGCCACGAGACAAGCAACCGATGGGTCACGAGACGAGCAACCGATGGGCCAAGGGAGTAGCAATTGATGGGTTAATGGACAAGCAACTAATAGCCCACGAGATGAGTAGCTGATGGGCGACGAGATGAGCAACTGATGTGCCACGAGACGAGCAACTGATAGGTCATGAGACGAGCAACCGATAGGTCAAGAGACGAGCAACCGATGGGCCAAGAGACAAGCACCAGACATGCCAAAAGGCGAAAAACTGATGGGCTAGTAACGCATGGCTGGAGGTTTTGTTATGCGACATTTTTCTTACAAACCCACACCCTTTCGGATCTCAACATGATACAAATGATGCATACCGCACCAGTCCCGCAAGCATCATATTTCAATATCAGCCACTTCCCTACGGACACACCTTATTCTGAGCCCCCCTTAGTTCCTCTAGCTAAAGATCTCGTACTCGGGGCCAATCGCAAATATGAAAGTTTCAAACTAAAGCATTGATTTTTTATAACACGTCACTAGTCCAAGACCCTACGCCGTGTCATCGACCAAACAACATCAAAATCGCGGCACCAGTCTACGCGCAACACTGGGAGCTTCATCACTGACACATGGGCCGTCTTCAACAACCATCTTCCCCACCGCGCATGCCAGCATAACAATCATTCTAAACCACGGGCCCCCTCTCCACCAACAACGAAGGGCACATACATCTACCAAAGGAGGGAGCAACTCGCATAACCACGTCGACAGGGAATGCAACGACCTGCACCAACAACTGATATCCCTGGACATCGCCATCAACCGGCTTCGCGATCTACGCTTAGCCCACGCACGCACATGTCTCAGAAGGCCCAATTAAAATGAAGCACGTTGCCTTGCAATAATCAGAAAGCAAGCTTTCTCAATATGACATTTTTTGAAAGTGTGAAACACTTTCTAAAAATAAAGATTGTGAAAGCGCAGCTGACTGTAGTGAAGCAAGGCAACTGCGAATGCCTCTTCCCGAGTACATAACGAGGGTTGGAGGCCATTTGGCCTCCACCCACGTCTTCATTTCGGAACTTTTCAGTTCTGCTTCCCCCCCGCCCACCCCTAGTTGATGTTTATGTAATGTGTAAGTTGGACGAGAATGTTGTAATTACCCAATTAAAATGAAGCACGTTGCCTTGCAATAATCAGAAAGCAAGCTTTCTCAATTCGGTCTCTGTTTCGAGCACCTCGGAACCCACTCCTTCCGGAAAGGTGCAGCGACCGTCGCAGCCAACGCCGGCATACCTGACCGAATCCTGAAGCGATTAGGACGATGGAGAAGCGACACCGCGAAGGAGACGTACATCACGCCTGCTGCAGACCAACTGGTGGGAGCATCGAGACACGTCCAAGACCCGGCACGATCCCTCTCCCTTGCGCAACACGCCACGTCGCTGGCGCACCAACGGCGACCGACACAACACATGTCTCAGAAGACCCATTTGAAATGAGACGATGCCATTGCTACAACAAGAAAGCAAGCTTTCTAAATATGAATATTTTTAAAAGATGTAACGTTTTTCAAAATTGTATATTTTGAAAGCTAAGCGGCTTGTAATGTAGCAATGGTCAGTGGTGAACCGCGCTAAACGCCCGTTTTGGAGTACAAAACGTAGGCTGGAGGTCATTTCCCTCCACCCACGTCTCTCATTTTTCAAACGGTTTAGTCAAGTTTCCCACCCACCCACCCCCTAGAATAGTGAATAATAGTTAATTGTTTGTACTAACCCATTTGAAATGAGACGATGCCATTGCTACAACAAGAAAGCAAGCTTTCTAAATCTGTACATTTTGAACTGCAACCGTGACAACTGCTCAAGCCACGGTGAATGCAGGCGCAAAAATCCATGAGTCTCGTTAGCACAGAGGGGCACCTGTCACTGCCTTGTGGTGATCTGTTGAATAATCAGGAGTTCCTCAAGCGATAGCTTCTTCTGCTTCAGGTACTCCTCCACTGGCATCCGTGCCACTTCTTCAGGAAGCTGCACAAGATGGCATCCATGATTAGCGGCTTTCAGCAGCTGTTGAATAATGCCAGGAAATCACAACACGTACTCACCGACTTAATCTGTGCTTCTGTTTGCTCCTTGATGATTCTCGCCTTCTCCCTGAAGGTTTCCCGCATAGCTTCTATCCTCGCGTTGGCTGCCAAGATCAAGTCTCGTAAGGTGGTCAGTCAATCTCAGACCCAGGCCTGGAAAGCGTTCGCATGGTTGCCGCATCCATACCTTCTGCGTCAATCTCATTCCACATCTGCGTTGACACCTTGCTTCCCATACCAGCAACATTCGGCGTTTCCGCATTGACGCTTCTGTCCTTTAATGGAGCACGTGCTCTTTTGGGCCTCGTCATGGTAGTCGAACTGAGTGAGCTGTTTCGGTGTAAGTATAAGCTGGATAGAGATGGTCGACGCGTTTATCACTCTTTGAAGCAACAAAGTACTGTGTTGCTGTTACGTAAGTTGTGAAAATGAGAGATTTGGAGATGGATGTGAAACGTGGGAGCACAGGATGGTGAAGCGTAGGCTGGAGAAGTGCGTGAAACGAGTGGCTGCGAAGTTGCATCAAAGCTACTCGTAGCAATGTGAGGGGAGCTTGATCGATGGTGAACTGGTCTGACATGAGATGCTGGAAACCATATGCTTGGTGAAATTCGAGTCGCTGCCAGGAGTGGTGTCAGGGATTTGCTTCTATGCGTTATCGCAAGCCTCGCGAATTTAATTCGTTTCAGCTATACACCACTTTTTGGAAGTGGGAGAAGGTAAGAAAAACACTGGATGAACTTCAGTGATTATATCGGTTGCCACTAAACCCTACTGAAGGGTTAAGTGTCTGACTCAACTCGGTCCTCGACAAATGAGGTTTCTGACGGAGCCTGGCCTGACGTCACAGCTGGAGCTGCCAACATGTCAGTTTGCGTTTCGGCGTCGTCATCCACTCGATGCGACACATCTCCTGCCAAACCTGCCACCGCCTCATCTGAAACCACAAACAGCGCACCCCTGACGAGATCCGTCACGACATCTTCTAGACCGACCTCGCGCTCCGCCACATCGAATGGTTCACACGCGTGGATCTGGTCTGCCACCAACAACCTCGTCGTCACTGCCCAGTTTTGCACACTCACCGCAAAAAAATCGCTCTTACTGAAGCATCTCATTAATCTCCACTTTCTTTTCCACTTCTCACATATCCCAGGACTCCCGCGTTCTCCACACGTGAATCCTCCATCACCCGCCCCAGTTCCAGCAGCGCCTTGGGAAAAAGCTGGAGGCCAGACAGCCCCCTTCACATTGTACGTTGCCCACCCAACATGCTTTGGTTGCACCAACCAACCAACCACCCGATCTCTTTCCACCACCTCCTAACTGGTGCTTGGAAGTTGTTACCGAAGATTTCGCCTCTGTTCCACGTACACATCTGGAATAGTGCTCCTCTGTAACCTATCCGTCCCGCTGGTGAGAGTTCACGTTGCTCAACAACATGGCCCTTCTTGTCAGGGACTGGGGACATCGCGTCCGTCCCAGAGCAGCCTGCTAGCCGCCAAGCTTGACTGAACCTGCAAATGCGTCATCTGGCCTGATGTTCTCGGGTGTTACCTAAATCGATCAACGCCACCCTGGTTGAGCTCTCGAGCCGCCAATATAGATTAACTATTTTGGAAATGGGGGTTGACACGTCATATCGCATCAGCGGCGCATCATCCGCCGCTGTCGCCGCCGTAAACATGGGAGTGAGCGATGAGCGTCTGGTTGGGCCGTCGCTGTTTAAGACGTTTTCGCACGGCGCGTGCAACACGGTTCCGCCGAGTCACGCGGCGATGGAGGCGGTGCTGCGGGAGCGATGCCTCGGTGCTCGTGGTCGCAGCGTCAGCGCCAAGGACGACGTCATCTACTCGCGCTCCGTCGGGTCGGCTGACGGTGCAGGAGGAACGCTCTGGAAAGCAGCGGGTTGTGAATATAACGGGGGTGTCTGTGACGGCCAATGCGAAGGTGCAATTGCCGGTGGCGGATGTGATTGTGAGGGGGCTAGGGGAGTAGGGGGAGCAGATGAAGGGCAGACGGAGGGTCTTGGAGAGAGAGGGAGCAACGACGGTTCCCGCTTCGGTGAAGCTCGCGAATATGGCTCCTTCCATCCTCGCTGCACCGTCGCGCGTCCCACCCTTGATTTCAAGTCATGGCTGGCCGAACAAATTCGATTCAGCCAATCGCTGTCGTCCACCATGTCCCTGCCACGGCCTCCCAGAGCCCCCGCAGCAGATGTTCCAGCGTCGTCCTCGGCGTTCTCTCCCGCGGCCTCCCCTTCCGCTTCCCCATTCTCCTCGCTACCCTCGTTCCTCTCCCCTACATGCCCCAGTCCATCCCCCTCTCCGTCCTCCTCCGCTCAATCCAGTGCGCCCACCGACTCGCCATTCGCCATCGTTCCTATGGCCGTCGCCGGTTCCCCTGCTCACGCCACTGCGCCTGACAGCTCCGCCGCTCATCCTGCCGCTGCGCTCCTGCCGACCCTAATCGCCCCCCCGTCACCCGCTCATTCCACTGCGTCCTCCACCCCCTCCACCCCCACGCTCACCCCGCGCTCGCCCTACTTCTCCATCTCCTCCTCCCATCGCCGCTCCCAGAACTGCCTTTCCCCTCAGTCCGGCTCCCCTGTCCCTCCGCCATCCCCGCTGCTGCTCGGGCGGTTCAACCTTAGGTCGCCGCTAAAGGCGCCGCTGACTGCGCCACTGCGGGCGATCAGTCGCATGGCGGCGCGGCGGTGCCGGTGCTTCTTCACGCTCCACGTGCACGGCATCCTCGGCCTCCCCGCGCCCTTCGACGCTTCCGCGGATACTGCTGCCTCCAGCACCACCACAAGCTGCGGCAGCAGCAGCAGCAGCAGCAGCACTGGCAGCGTCGTCAGCAGCGGTAGCAGCAACTCGAGCAGCAGCAGTAGTAGTAGCAGCAGCAGCAGCAGCGGCAGCGGCGGAGAGTGGGAGGCGATGGTGCTGTGGCACAGGCGCGGCATGGCGGTGAGCACGAGCGTGGCGCCCGTGAGAGACGGGGTGGTGCAGTTCGAACAGACGCTCGAGCTCTCGTGCACGCTCTACTGCACCCTCGGCCCGCACCACTCGCTGCGCTTCCAGGAAAAGCCCTCCACGCTCGTTGTGCGCCTCATGAACCGCTCCGGAGGCTCCCGCGCCAGAGGCGCGCAGGGCGGAGGCGCAGGCGGAGGGGGAACTTGGGGCGGAGAAGGGAACGAGGCAAGAGTGAGCGCAGCGGAAGGTGTGGGGGTGAGTGCGGGAGGGGGGAGAACGGGGAGCGGGTGCAGCGAGGTGGAGGTGGGGCGGCACGCGGTAGACCTGGCGCGGCTGGTGCCGTGGTCGCTCCAAGACACGGACCTGCGCCCGCACACGCTCGCCTTCCCCCTCTCCGCCTCCGCCTCCGGCGCAACGCTGCTCGCCACCTTCGGGTATGAACTGCAGATCAGTAGGCGAACGAGCGGCATTGGCGCAGCTGGGGGCGCGTGGGGGGCGGGGGGCGGGGGTGGGGCAGAATCGAGAGTGGCGCGCGCGGATTCGAGGGCGTTCAGTGCGGCGGCGGCGGAGGCGGCGCTGGACGAGGTGGCGCTGCCGTGCAGCAGCGCGCACAACAGCCCCGCGTCCAGCCCGCCCCGGGGAGCTCCGCTCGCGCACTGGGCTGCTGCCCCGCTCCCCGCTGCCCTTGGCGCTCTCGGGGGGGAAGGGGGGAAGGAGTTTGGGGCGTGGGGCCAGGGCGAAGGGGAGAGAAGGCCTGGAGACGAGTGCGCGGGGCAGGTGAGTGGCAAGGAGCTGTGTGATGGCCTGAGGGGTGCGGATACTTGCAGAGGGAATGGAGGGGTGCAGGAAGATGCTCCGAAGGACGGGGAGAAGGAAACGAGGGCAGTGAGCGAGGGCAAGGAGGGTGGCGACGGGAGCATGGAAGAAAAAGTAGTGACAGAGGGTCAGCATGGGGAGGGGATCGCTGGGGTTGTCGGTAGTGAGGACGAGCTGTTGCATGGCGAGCGTCCTTGTGATGGCAGGCCACATGGGCGAGCCGTGGTAGATGTGGTGGGATGTGAAGGCGAGAAAGAGAGGGTGTGCGTGGCTGAGGGGGGTGAACCAAGCGTTGACAAAGGTCCTGCTCCTGACGAAGAGGAAAGCGTGGGCTGTGGTGTGGTGGTGAATGCAGCGACTGTGAATGCGGCAACAGCAGATGCAGCAGACAAGCACAAGCTTGCCCCTGCCTTTGTGCCAGAAGCAGTGGCGAGCGAGGTGTGGGGAGGTGTGGACGAGCTGTGTGGAGGGGCGGGCGCGGAAGACTTAGAGGGCGTGGAGGATGCATTCATAGCAATGCTGGAGGAGCAGAGCAAGGAGACCCGGCGCGGCCGAGGCAGCAGCAGGGACCGCAGGAAGGGAGGGAGGGGTGTGCGCGGTGGCAGAGGGAGGGGGCGAGGGAGTGGGGATGGTGAGGGTGGTGGGGAGGGGGTGGGTGCGTGGCTGGATGGCATCCCGGAGGTGGATGGGGAGGGGGAGGAGAGGGAGGAGGAGGATGGGAAATGCGGAACGGAAAGCACAGGAGTGGTGTGAATCTTGGACGAGAGGAAGAGGACGACCATATTTGCGTGGGCTTGCTGTTTACCAGCTTTCCAGTCTTGGACTGGTGTTTTTTAATTGATGTTGCAGTTGCATAAATGTGTGCGTGAACCGATTGTGGCAGCATCGTGTGTGTGCAGTAGTCGCCATTGGTTTCTATTATGGTAGATAAGCTCCCGTAGCAGCTGTGAAAGCATGGCCTCAATAGGCTCCATCCCTCCCTGGCATTCACATGCCGTTTGATGCCCACACTTGCTCACTGCGCCGCGTAGTCTGCCTTTCTGCATGATGCCATTTCCTGTTGTTCCTCGTCATGTCTAATAAATTGTCCAATGAAATCGTCACATCTCCAGATTCGTGTGGGCATCCAGATGTAATACCGTAACAACAGCCATGCTCTTTAGACCACGTATGGTACCGTAGCTAGTGGAACCGCACTAAGGGGGTGGAGGGTGCGTGTTCTAGCATGGATGGGCACACTATAACCTCGTATGCGTAACCTGAACTACGTCTGGTAGTACAAAGAAGAGCTACCAGTACCGTACCACACGGCCTATGTTGCCACCACATCCCCAATCTACCCCCAGCCAGCAAGCATGCCTGCCTTGCGCGAGTGGCAAAAGTGTCACCTGCCATCGGAACAAACATGAACACCTAAATGCTACGAAACAGCAGATGGAACACCGCTCGAGGCTGGAAGCGGGTCAAGAGGTGCATCAGCAGCACCGCGTGGGGACGACACTATATCGGGAGCGGACTGCGAGCCCTGCAGCGCAGGCACCCTGCTGCGCTCCACCTGCACGGTGGCATGGCTGATGCGGTATGTGCGCTCACAGAAGCGCAGCACGGAGTTGAGCACGTCCTCTGGGTTGCTGTGTGCATCGATGCGCACGTGGCACGCCAGCATGACTTTGCCTAGTGTGAGTGCCCAAATGTGCAGCTCATGCACATCCTCCACCCCTGGTAGCGTCTTCAGCCCCGCCTCCACCTGCACCCCACGCACCATCCACAAGGGCGCCAGCAACAGGGTGAGAGGTGAGGGACGCGGGTAAGAGTGGGACACGAGAAGGACTGAGGAGGAGAAGGCAGATGAACATCGGGTGTAGACAGAAGGAGGATCACAGGTCCCCATGTAGGACGACACCGAAGTGTGAACTTCCAGTCTAATTCAAATCGCAGAGTCTGCTCAAATTATAAGAGAGCAAGCATGGGGTGTGACGGACCTCTGAGGCGTTGATGCCGCGTGGCGTTGACTCCATGAGCACGTCGATGACATCACGCAGCATGCGGTACGTGGTCACGAGCACGAGGATGGAGAAGAGCAGCGTGCAGATCAAATCCACTATCTTCCTGCACACGATAGCCACGCAGTGTGGGGGGGAAGGCAAAGTGAACGGAAGAGTATGCAAGGACACTCACGAAGAGTGACACCATGGATAACATGGCCAGGGCTGCTCGTTTTACGAGTCGGAACAAGGGAACAAGGCAGGTGAGTGAACAAGGCAGCGCGCTTGTGCAGCATATGTGGAGTCGAGGTACAGAAGCAAATGACAGACAGCCCGTCCCACGAGGTTCAGACGGTGGCAGTGCGAGGAGGGCAGCACGTACCACTCGGGGTTGTACCAGATGACAGCCCCCCCCACCATGACCCCTATGCTCTGCAACAGGTCCCCCAGCACATGCAGGTACGCCCCCTCCAGGTTTATGTTGCGCGCCCGAGCTGGCTCTGCCTCTGCGCGCGGGGGAGAAGCGATAGCAAGACGGGGTAAGGTGGTCGCGGGAAGAGTGAGCCAGTTTGAAGGTGCAGGGGTGAAGTCAAGTGTGGCAAGCAAGTATGCATGGGAAGCACACAAGGGGCAGAATTCAGAGAGAGGAGAAGGAAGGAGGGAAGAAAGAAATCGAGATACTAAGGGGCCCAGGGGTAATGATGGGTGAGAGTGATGCGGTTTCACCTGCAGGACTAGACGCGGAGTGCTGATGTTGATGCTGGGACGAGTGGTTGGCGCTGTGGTGGAGGGTCACTATGGCATCGCCTGCATCTGAGCTCGTTGTGCCATGCCCATGCCCGTCCCCATGTGCGTGTGCATGTTCGTGGCCGTGAAAATGGTCATGCCCATCCCCTCTAGGCTCTTTCCACCCATGCACGTGCCCGTGCTCATGCTCATGCCCGTTATCCTCATGTGAATGACCATGCCCATGCCCATGCCCATGCCCATGCCCATGCCCGTGTGCATGTGCGTGCCCGTGTGCGTGCCCATGCCCATGGTCGTGCCCATGGTCGTGCCCATGGTCGTGGCCGTGGTGATGGTGGCCGAGAATGAGAGTCATGAGCACGTTCACACCCACGCCGAAAGCCGACGTGATGAACATGAGGCGCCCGTCCACTGACTCCGTCTGCGATATCAGCCTGCATGCACACTCGCACACACAGGGCAGAGGCGCAGCGGGAGGAATGGGAGGAGGAGGAGGAGGAGGAGGAGGAGGAGGAGGAGGAGGAGGAGGAGGAGGAGGAGGAGGAGGAGGAGGAGGAGGAGGAGGAGGTGGAGGAGGAGGTGGAGGAGGAGGAGGAGGAGGAGGAGGAGGAGGAGGAGGAGGAGGAGGAGGAGGAGGAGGAGGAGGAGGAGAAGGGGGTGGAGGTTAATGAGACTCCAAAACACACACGACCAGAGGCGAGTCGCAAGGCTCATCCCTCGCCAAACATAACTCGCTCAACCCGTCACCAAAGAATAATCACAGACAGACATCACTGCCTCCCAATTACAGCCCTTCCCACGGCCAGGAGCAAGCGAGGGAGCGAGGTGGGTGGGTCGGGTCGGCGAGGGCGCGCACCTGGAGACGGCCTCATAGAGCAGGATGCCGGTGATCATCCAGATGAGCTGCATCGACACGAGCGCGCCCAGGATCTCCATGCGGTGGTACCCGAACGTGTGCCGCGGCGTCGCCTCCCACCCCGCCATCCACAGCGCAAACAGACTTATCGCGAAGCCTGGGGGTTGCAGGGGTGGAGAAGGGGCGGAGAGCGGGGAAGAGAGGGTCAGGGGGTGATGGGCAAGGGCGCATTGGGTGGCATGAGCATAGGAGATGAGGGGCAGGCGGAGGTGCAAGGGTTTGAGGAAAAAAACAGGGAACGGAGGGGAAGGAATTTGTAGGGCATAGGGGAGAGCAAACTATGCTGAGGGACCAACAAGGTAAGGCAAGCAGGGGGGAGCGATACAATGGAATACAGTGACAAGGAACGAGCGCGCGGGGAGTTGTGAGAGATCGAGAGAGAGATGAGAGGGAGGTGTCGGGTGAGAACGGGCAGAGCGGGACGGGGGAGGGCAGAGGACCCGCGGAATGGGAGAGGGCGCGCAGGCGGAGGCTGAGAGCACGTACTGGCGATGTCGGAGAGGAGATGCGCCGCATCCGTGAGCACGGCGAGACTGTTGGACAGAATCCCTGCCCGCGCGCCATGGGGCACGGGGAGTGGGGAACGGGGAACGGGAAACGGGGAACGGGGAACGGGGAACGGGAAACGGGGAACGGGGAACGGGAAACGGGAAACGAGGAAGGGCGAACAGGGAGGGGGACCGGAGAGAGGGGAGCAGGGAGAGGGGAACGGGGAGAGGGGAACGGGGCGGTGGAAAGGGAACAGGATAGAGGACACGGAGGGACGTGTTAAGAGAGAAAGTGGTAAGGGTTGAGCAGTGAGGATAATTTTGGGAGGCGATGGAGAAACTGCAGAGGAAGAATTCAGGGGTGGTGCCCTGAGGACAAGGCAGCTGATGGGGGAGAGAACGGCCAGGCATGAGGAGTGGAATGCTCGGAGGTACAACAGGGAGCGGGGGGCGAGAGCGCGCGGCGAGAGCGCGGGGTAAGAGTCACCTCCGACAACTTCGACGAGCATGAAGGCGAGCGAGAGCGCGATGGCGAGCACAAGGCGCTGCCGCACCTTCATGCGCTCCTTGTCCTCCACCGTGCCCACCGCCACGCCGTCCGCGAACCCGCACCGCGCACTGCAACCTGCGACGGGCCGGCAGCAGCGCGCGCATGGACGCGAAAGACGGATTGTAGCAAGGAATCAACTCAAACGACGAAAATTGGATCAACGAGCCTCATCGAAATTAGGTCTCGAACGGAAGAAGATCGACGAGTCGCGAATTTCGCAACAAGTTGGAATAAAGAGATTCTTGGATCCCATGTTGGCAGCACGAAGCACTCACTGGCGTGTGCGGGTTCGTCCTTTGCATCCACCGCCACGACCGTGTCTTCATATACCTCGCTCTCATGCCCATGCGCATGAGCAGTCTCGTGCGCGTGTTCGTGCTCGTGCGTGTGCGCGTGGCTGCGGTGGTTGAGATCGCCGCAGTGACTGCGATCGTCTTGTCGACAGTCCGAAACACCATGCGCGTGCTCACGGTCGTGACTGGATTTGTGCGTGCCTGTCGCCTTCGCCTGGCTATGATCCAATCTTCCGTTGCTCCCCGTCAGTAGCGGCTGCAGCAAACCGGCCTTGGGGTCCGTGGGTCCCATTGCCAGGACAACAGAAGTCGTCGAACAAGTAGGCTCGTAAGACTGACACGTAAGCGATGAGTCAAGCTTCCTTTTGTAAGATTTGCGATCCACTGTGACCGATACCAGAACTTTCGCTGAAATCAAATGAACACCACAGGAAGGATTCACCCTGCAACACGGCAGAGAGTGCAAAACATGCGGCCTTAGTCTGTATGTAGAGAGGAGGGCGGAGAGAACGGCGGTAAGACAAGAACGGCGGTATGTGATTTGCGTGATTCGAGTCTCGGGATTCGTTTTGGATGAAAAACAAGTGATGTCTGTGAGGAGTTCGATCACAGGAAGGAAGTTCGAGGAGATGGATGTGCGTGAAAATGAGCGACGGTGGGCGACGACAATGTGGGAGATTTCGCGGATCTGCGTCGCGGAACCTCTATCGTCCGTCGCCAGGCGCCTTTGCGCCGCCTGATTTTCCGCTCCCCCTTTCCTCAGGAAAGTGGCTTTGGGAGTTGTGGCTGGGGGAATTGGGCGACGTACGTGATGAAATCAAGGTTTTTGTGGCGATGTGGTTCTGCGAAGACTCAGACCAGAACCTGGACATTGCTGGGGGTAACCACCCAAGGGTAGATCTGACTCTGAGGTAAGATCGTAGCTGTTCAAATGCGAGATTTCGCCTCATCGGAGGGACTACATTTATCGGCTCAATATCTCACACGCCACTGGAGGCCCTCTCTGACATGCCTGCGCTTTGCGCTGATTCGCTTGTGGTTCACAAATACATACCTACACCAGTCATTGAAAGTTATCTTTCACATAAGCGTGTCTCTACTTTGTTGCGAAGTGGTGATCCGTGCTGGCGTCCAACTTCATGTCAAGTTTTGTTCTGTTGGGAGCTGTTGATTTCAGATTATCGCGCACGGTCATCGAATACTTTTCAGCAATTTTGTTGACACAAAGATTGACCCTCACGCAGTGCACGCCCTGAGATAACTCCGTTGGTCACAGAGTTGTCGGAGAAAGAATTTGTTTGCATTCTTCCCTCGTATCCCATCCTTCATTTCAAGGCGAGATCTTGATTTAGGGTATCCCGTTTCTTGCTATCTAGGAATTTCCTCGCACTCTCTCTACCGGCTCTCTGCAGCCGCGCACTCTCCTGCCTTGCTCCCCTCCTGTTCATGTATAAATCGCCTAACCAGGATTCCCCCCCAGCTAGTCTCCCACCTTTGCTTGCTCCCACTGCAGCGACCAGCCATGGATCCCGCCTCCCTCCGCTTCCAGCCACCGCTTCCTCTGCTGCTTCTCCTTTTAGCAGTGGCGGTGCGGGCGAATCTCACGGCTCTGACCCTCTATCAGTCGAATCCGGAGGCCCGAGAGCGACGCGTGGGAGTGGATCTGCAAACGCGAGCGGAGGCAGGGAAGGGGGAGAGGTGCCAGGTGTCGCAGGGCGCGAATCGTCGTCGGGAACCGGCGTTATCGCGCCTGATAGTGCAGCCCGCGTTAGCAGCAACAGTGGTGGCATCTTGAAAGAGAACGCGCCGCGAGGCACCGGCAATGCCGAGTCAGATGTTACCGGGGATAACGGCAGCAGTAGCAGCAGCTCGTCTGCGATCTCAAATGCGCTCAATCCAATGGCCAGCGAATTCGTGCCAATCTTTCAACCCGCAGGTCCGTCACTTGTTTTGTGGATTCTTTCACGTGCTTTTTTCTTGGATTCTGTCTTCCCGCCTCTTCATTTCCGTCCATCCTCGCCTCCTCCCGCTCCGCATATCCTCATCTTCATTCTCCGTATTCACGACCCTGTTCTTTCCGCTGCAGCGCTTCCCGATCAGCGGCAGCAGCATCCGCAGCAAGGACGGCCCGCGGAACATCCTCACGAAGCGGGCTGGGAGCACGTCAGGTCGGGCGGAAGGGGCGGTCGGGGGAGGGGCAGGGGCGGGCTGAGCGCCAGCTTCGCAGACGTGGGCGGAGGGGCGAGAGGGGGAGATATGGGGCGGAGCGGGCGGGGGAGAGGCGGCAGAGGGTCTTACAGCGGAAGCCGAGGGGGGGGAGGAGGTGGTGGGAGAGGAGGCGCGGGGAGGTCCCGAAGGGGCGCGAGTGAAACGGTCGTGGAGAGGACGCCAGGCGAGGAAGGCCGAGGACCTCTTACCGCTGCTCGTGCTGCTGCTGCTGCTGCTGCTGGCGGAGCTGGCGGAGGAGGCGAAGGAGGCGGAGGGGGCGGAGGAGGCGGAGGAGGCGGAGGAGGCGGAGGAGGCGGAGGAGGAGGCGGAGGAAGTAGCGGAGGAGGGAGCGGCTGTGCAGCGGTTGCAGCAGGGGCAGACGAAGAAGCAGCAACAGCAGCAGGATCAGCGGGAGCAGCAGAGAGCGGGGGGCGGGGGCGCAGGGGCGTGCAGACACAGGCAAATCACCTCCTCAACTTCCAGCCGTACCAGCCCACCACCGCGCGAGGCGTCGGCGCAACGCTGGGCGGTTCCGGGGGGGGCGGAGGCGGAGCGGGGTCGGGGCGGTGGCGGCAGCAGCAGCAACAGCAGCAGCGGAGTCGAGCGCACCGGTCATTCAATCGAGAGCTGTTTCTGCAGGTGAGTGGGTGCGCGTGGGTGCGCGCGTGCGTGAGCGAGTCCTGGCAACCGAGCAACATGCTGACGTCTCTGCATGACTGCCCTGCGCGTCTGCTCATTTCCATCCACACCGGTGCACGCCCAGGTATCTGCCTTTCTAGTCGCAGCACATCCATCCCGTTTACCCCCTCCGTCGTCCCTCGTGCCTCCTCCTCTCTCCCCTCTCCCGCCCACCTCCCTTCTTCCTTCCCCCAACGTCCTCCCGTTCCCCCCGGCAGGCCAACTGTCGCTTCCTGGTGTCGGACTGTGGCGACTACAACAGCGACCTCGCGGACGCGGATCGCATGCCCGACTGGGCTGATGTGGCGGCCGTCGAGATCACCGAGACCACTGACTGGCACGCGGGCGAGGGCGCGGACGGGGGGAATGCGCACGGGGACGCGGGCGGGGGACAGCGCGCGGAGGTCAAGGATGGGGGGGATGGGGGGGAGGACGGGGGAGAGGGGGGAGGGGTGGAGCGGGGAGCAGGAGGGGATAGCATAGCAGGCGGCGCCAGTGGCACGCTGTCGTGTCCGATTTGCCTGGACAGCCCTCCGCTCTGCCCTCAGGTTCGTTCGTGTGCGCGCTGGGCTGCCAACTGGAAGCTTGTTTGACTGCTTTCAGAATGGGGTTTGGAATGGGGGCAGGCGGGTGGGGGTATGTGCGGGGAGCGGTGCTTGTTGGTTAGTAACTCTTATCGTCCGACCCGTTGCTTCCCCCATGCATCCCCCTCCCGTCCACCTCCTTCCGCTCCCTTGACATTATTTAAACCCATGCCACATGCGTCACCTACTCAACGCCTTCCTGTCTCTACTCCTTTCACTCTCCACTCCAAATTCCTGTCTTGCCACCCCTGCTCTCCTTCCCTACCCCTTTTGCCTGCGTCCCCACTCCCCCCAAATCCCCCTCTCCCCTGCCCGTGCGCGCCCGGCCATCAGATCACGGTGTGCGGGCACGTGTTCTGCCACCCCTGCATCCTGCGCCACTTCGCCACGCCTGACGCGCGCCACCCCGACGCGCCCCCCCTGCGCCCCGCCACCACTGCCAGCGCTGCCGCCGCCGCTGCAGTGGCGCGCGCAGTTGCTGCAGGGGGCAGCCCGCAGAGGGCCCTGCGCGCGCTCTTAGGCGCTGCTCCTCTCGCGAGCAATGCAGCGGCGGCAGCAGGGGGAGGGACGGTTTCGGGCGGAAGAGGCTCAGGGAGAGGAAGCGTGGGGCAAGCAGGGAGGGGGGGCGGGCGAGGTGGCAGTGGGAGAGGGGCAGCAGCTGCTGCTGCAGCAGCAGCGCCGGTGGTGCTGCCAAGTGCAGGGCTGGCGTCGTCAGTGGTGCAGCGGTTCAAGCGGTGCCCGCTGTGCTTCGCCAGCATTGGGTCCCACGAGCTGCGCACTGTCACCATCCGCTCCGTGCCTGCACCTCGTGTCGGCCACATGCTGCGATTCGTTGCTCTCATGCGCTCCAAGGTGCCTCCCCTCTCGCCTCCTCCCTTCCTCCTTTTCTCCCTCCCTCCCTCCCGCGCTTTCTCCCTCCCTACCTCCCTCCCTTTCTCCCTCCCTCACTACCCTCTTCTCGCAAATTGCCCACACCTGTCCGCGCCCATCGCCCCCGCTGCCTCCTCCACCGTCCTCTCCCATATTGATCTCCTCCTCCCATCCTGCGACCGCCCCCCGTCCCCTCCCTCCACCAGGCCTGCGTGGTGCCATTCGAGATGCACCGGCACCACCGGGAGCACTTCTCCCTGGCAGCGCTGCCCTTCTCATCCACCGGCCGCTGCCACGCCTTCTCCAAGCTCACGCTCACCTCCGACTCGGGCGCCGCTGCTGTCACGCACGCGGCGGTGCGCGCGCTGCTGCAGCGCGTGGAGGAGGTGAATGAGAGCGGTGGGGAGGAGCTGGAGCAGCTGCCCTATGTCATGGATGCTGTGAATCAGCTGCTGGACCGCCAGCAGGTGAGAGGGAGGGTGTGCGGGAAGGGAGGGATTGGGTGGTGTGGCAGCGGCAAACAGAGTAGGAGAAGAAATTGCAGTGCTTCAATTGTTAGTACTTGCATCACCTTCTTTGTCTCTTGCTGAATTTCTTTCTCGCCCACCCACCTTTCTCCCTCCCCCTCCCTCTATCTTGCCTCTTTCTCTCTCTCTCTCTCTCTCTCTCTCTCTCTCTCTCTCTCTCTCTCTCTCTCTCTCTCTCTCTCTCTCTCTCTCTCTCTATCCCCCCCCCCCTCCTCTTTGCAAGTACAGGCATGGGTGGAGCACAGGCAGATGGCGTTTGTGGCAGCCAGCCCGTCGCACCAGAAGGGCCTGCTGTCGCTGCTCAAGCTCCCCATCGACCTCCCCCCACCGCCCCTCTCGCCCTCCGCCTCCCCCTCCGCCTCTCTCTCCGCCTCCTCCCCTGCTTCCCACCGCATCACCTCCCCTCATGCGCGCTCCTCCCCCTCGTTCCCCTCGCCCCCCACCACGAGCGCCAGTGCTGTGAGCAAGCGCATGGGTGCATTGCAGTTGGAGCAGGAAGAGGATGCAGGTGGCGAGAAAAGCGAGGCGAACAAGGGCCGCGAGCAAGCCGGTGAGCTAGAGGTTGCTGGGGGAGACGAAGGGGATGGGGCGGGAGATGCAGAGGAGGAAGAGGAGGCATGTATTGAGGAGGCGGAGGAGGAGGGGAGTGTGGTCGCTGGGGGCGAGGATGTGGCGGAGGTGGATAGGGCGATGCATGAGCTGGAGGCGCGTGCTGGGTGGGTGTATGAGAGTGCCTTTTCCGATGATGAGGGCGAGGGCGAGCAAGTGGGGAAGGACGGCGCTGGAAAGAGGGATGCTGCTGGGGATAGTGAGGGAGCTGTCTCGTCTGCTGAATCTGCTGCGGATGCTGCTGGGGATGGTGAGGTAGCAGCAGAGAAGAGCCAGGGCGGGGTGTCATGTGGGGAACGACGCGAGAGCAGGATGGGAGGAGGCAGCGGTGCGGGTGGGGAGGCAGCCATGACTGACAAGGCCGGGAGAGTGGAGAAACGTGAAGGGGACATCGCGCGGGGTGACGGCAAGAATGGGGCGGGGCGAGGTGGGAAGGGCAAGGCGGGGGAGCATGTGGGTGAGGGCGAGGAGGTGTGTGGGTGGCACGTGTTCTACCAGGCACAGGAGGGGCCGTGTGTGGTGCTGCACCCACTCAACTTCAAGTGCTTGCTGCAACACTATGGCTCCGTTGAACGCCTCCCCCTCAGGCATGCCCCCGTTCCTCAACCCCTCAATCTTTCACCTTTACCTTCTCTGCTTCACCCTGCTCCTTCTCACCTCTTGTCTTCGAGCTAGCCTGGTTACTTTGTCCTCCTCCCCACCCCTCCCACACCCCATTCTCTCCTCTCCCGGGCTCTGCCTCTCACCCTCCTTCTGCTGTGTCACACGGTTCCGAGTTCAAACTCGTCACCACGCTCAAGTTGCGACTCGTGACATTGACATTGATCCCACCTCGTGTCAACGCACCTGTGGCCCCAAACCCCCCTATCGCCCTGTGCCCCACAGCGTGACAGCACGAGTGGTACAGCTGGAGCCGATGAGGCAGTCAGAGGCGGTGCGGCGGAGGCTGCGAGTACTGGACCACCTGCCGCTCACCGCTGCCTTTGTGCTGGCCGAGGTCGACCTCGCCCCGCTGCTGCCCGCACCCTCCCTTGCGCCCTTCCTGCCCGAGATCAACCACCGCAGGCTGCAGCGCCAACGCCAGATGCGACAGGTGGGTAGGGTGGGCGAGGCAGAAGGCGAGCATAAGGTTGCTTGCTGCAGAACAGCTGTACTAGTGACATGTTTGCATTGCTTGCAGGGCACAGGGCAGCACCGCGTCGCCTTTCTTTCTCTCAGTGTTACCCTGTGGCGTTGCTCCCATGTTTTCCCCCTCCTTTCCTTCGCGGACCACACTCCTCTAATATCATGTGTGTGTTGCTCGCTTCTGTGTGTGCCAGGAGGAGAGGGACCGTGTGAAGGCACAGCACAGGGAGGCAGTGGCAGTGGCGGCAGCGGCAGAGGATGGGAGGTTCTTTGAGCGCCAGCGTGTACCAGCACCCATGGACTTTGTCCCGCTCGCACAAGCTGTTGCTGCAGCAGGTTCCACAAGTACCGGTGCTTCTGCGGATGATTCCGAGACCGGTGGTGGGGATGTGGCAGCAGGCAGTGCGGAAGGTGAAGGGGCGACTGGGAGTGCAAGCCATGCGCCCCCCATGGCCTTCTCAAAGGTCACAGAGCTGGGGTATGCTGCTGGGCTGGGCTCCGTGGCACTATCTGGCCCCTCCCTCTCTGCTGCAACTACCCCGCCTTCTGCCCCTGGCCCTTCACCTGTTTCCACTGCTGCCACAGCCGCCCTATCAGTGTGGGCCAGTCGTCCAGACTTCTCCAGGGCAGGTGCTGCTGGTGCTTCTGCTGGTAGTGGTGCATGGGGTTCTGGGGGGGCGGCTGCTGCAGGGGGGGCGAGGGGTGTGGGGAGTGGAGGAGAGGGGGCTCAGGTGCCTGGTGATGATGGGAGCGGTTCTTCAGGTGGGTCGAAGGGGAAAGGAAAGAAGGGCAAGAAGAAGGGCACTACTATTTTGCTTTCTAGCGGAGGCCTGCCGCGCTACTGAAGGCGTGGTGCGTCAGGCAGGCCTGCAGATATACATGTATGTGTGGGTTCAGACTCCAGATTACTACGCTACCCGTATGACTGAGTTGTCTGTTGCTTAATTTCTTCTGTCTGATGTAGAGTGGTAGGGTAGCCCAGTGGTACTGTGGCTTTGCTGTTTTGCCTTGATACCAGTGGTTGACCTGGGTGTGTGAAGCTTGCATTCAGCATCCAGTTATCTGGTCCAATCCAAACATGGTTCAGGTATCAGAACCTGGATATACCGAGTCGCTAAATTAGCTGCAAATCTCCAGTCACTTTCGCCATGGCCGCCAATTTGTGGGTGGTCTTGCCACAGGCTCTGACGGGACTAGGAAGCAGCCAGGCGAAGATTGACGAGGTTACATCGCTTGCCAGGGACAACAGCTTGCGTCACATTCACACGGTTACCCTGCTATTATTTGTACCACGTGTCCTTCCGCGTTCAATCAGGGCGGTTCGGTATGCCCAGTTTCCGGCCCAAAACACGTTCTGCCGTCAGATTTCGTGGGAATCTGACTGACAGATAGATCTCAACCGTCCCTTGTGGTATGAGTCATGCAAACTGTACTGCCACTTCCGATAGGGGCAGATGGCAGAGCGGGAAGTTAGCGTTTGGTGCATTGGACAAGTTCTCCCCCTTTTCTCCCAATAATCAAGGTCGGGCAGCAGACCCCACCCCACCCAGGTCGACGGGGGAACTCCGATAGTTTATGTGACGGGGGGGCTGGGGGGGTGGGAGACGCAGCTGGGTGGGGGGGATCGCAGCAGGGTGGGGGTAAACGCAGAAGGGTGCATCTGAAACGGATAGAGGAGCATAACACGCCACGGCACATCACCACTTCATATCCCATCCCATCCCATCCCATCCCATCCCATAACCCCCCTCTCGCCCCCTCCACCCCCCTCCCGTCAGCGACATACGATGAGAGCACGTGCGGGCAGTGCTGCAGGAGGCGCTGCAGGCGCTGGGAGGCCAGATGCGGTGAACTGCATCCCCTCACTTGTCAGCAGCAACTGATGGGGGGAAGGGAGAAACGGGAGGGGGGGGGTTGGAGGGGGTAGTTAGGAAGGGGACGAGAGAGACATGGGAGAGTGAGAGACAGAGGGTTGGGACGGAAGGCCACTGCGGAATAGCACACAACGGTGGGTTCGGAGAGGGGAGTGGGAGGAAGATGGATGGGATGGGAGTTCACCATGGTGGCCGATGGGAGACGGTGGGTGGCAGGCAGTGGGTGGGGGATGCAAGGAAAGGGGAGCACGTCATCCCGCCCCATCCCATCCCACCCCATCCTCATCCCATCCCATCCCATCCTCATCCCATCCTCATCCCATCCCACCCCATCCTCACCCCATCCCATCCCATCCCATCCCATCCCATCCCATCCCATCCCATCCCATCCCGTCCCGCCCCACTTTCCCCCCAAATGAGCGACATACGACGAGAGCACGTGCAGGCAGGGCGGGCAGTGCTGCAGGAGGTGCTGCAGGGCCCACACGCGTTCATCTCCACCAGCGATGCTGCCAGGGGAGGGGAGGCGAGGGTGGGAGGGGGGGAGGGGATTGAATGAAAAGAGTGGGGTGAGAAGAAGAGGGTGGGTGGGGGGGGGGAGGGGGTTGAAAAGAGTGGGGGAAGGAGGGGGTGAGAAGAGGGGGTCGGGTGAAAAGGACGGGGGGAGGAAGGCGGGGGGCGAGTAAGGAGAGCATGATTTGCAAGGACTAAGATGCAGCACTGTTGAGCGGCAGATGAAAGGCAAGGAGGAAGGTCATCTCCTGCGCTCCCTGATTAGACCCCACCCCGCATCCCTTCACAACCCCTCCCCCGCACTGCCCCAACCCCCCACTGCCGCACCCCCCCACTCTCCCCACGCATTACCTGCGGAGCGCACGAGCAGCACGGAGTGGGGCGAGAGGCGGCAGGGGCGGCCGCCCGCTGCTGCTGGCGCGCTCGCTATCACCATCGACAGGGAGCAGCTGAGGGGGGAAGAGCGGGAAGGAAAGGGAGAGGGAGGAGGAGGAGGGAAGGGACGGGAAGGGAAAGGACGGGAAGGGACGGGAAGGGAGAGGAAGAGAGGGGAACGAAGGAGAAAGGAGGGGACAGAGGGGGAGTCTGGAGCGTCTGATCCGTGAAGCCTGGTTGCATATGCTAGCGCGCATGAGCACGTCTAGCAAGGCGACAAACGCGTACTGAGAACGGAGCACGGCTAGTAACGCGTACAGCGGGTACTGGCGCACGTGAAACGGATTAGAGCTAGTAGCGCGTACAGCGGGTACTGATGCTCGTCGAAGGCTAGTAACGCGTACAGCGGGTACTGGTGCACGAGGAAGGCGCGCTGGCCGATGGTGACGACGAGGTCGCTCGCCATGCCCGCCACTTGCGCGCACTCCGGCTCGCTCTCGTGCGACAGCAGCGACGCCGCCGCCTCGTCGCAGCCTTCGTCGTCCATCGCGCGCGTCGTCGGAGGGAGCAGACGACGGGGAGGCGCGCGGAAAGATTCGGCGCGGAGTAAACGGCGCGAAACAGCGTGAAGGGAACAGCGGCGAGGCACGGGGGAGGGCGAGGATGCGGCTGCTCTCTGCTGCTGCCTGCTGCTCTCTCTTGCTCTCTCTCTCTGTCTCCGTCACACGGCGACACTTCCGATCACCCTCTCCCTTCACTGTCCCGCGACGACGATCAAATAGGCCTTTGTTGAAAACGCTGGCCGCGCTGCGAGGAATGGATGAACGGCTCCGATTGTACCGATCGAGGTCGCAGAGGCAAATTCTCTCGCCTGTAACGCGCAGACGCTGCTCTCGCGAAGCAGCAGGCAATGGCTGGTTGTACCACCCGACCGAACCGAACTCGCTATGCGCTCTGCGGTGCGATGGGACAGCAGCATCGACATTTCCGACGCTTCGGCTTCGGACGCGACGCGACGCGACGCGACGCGAGCCTACCTGACCTCTGCTTTCACGTTCTCGCCTTGGAATGGGAACGGGATGAGGATTTCTGCTCTAACTTCGAGGCTGTTGAGGATTTCTGGTCTGCCTGATGGTTCACCGGTTCGTTACTTGGGCGGAGCCGAGACCAGATAGGTAAAGGCGAAGGGAGAGTTTCAAAGGATTGCACTGCACTTCAATGCGGTGACATGCGATTTCGTGCTTTTTCGATGTTCCATTTGTTAGAAAGCTCTGAAGGTTTTCCAAAATCTGGATTCCAGAACCGAGCCAGAGAACACAAGATTAAGCCTGTGTTACGGGTGCAATGAATCGAGGTAGCGAGAATTGCACTAAGGTGTCAAACGAGTACAAAATGTGAGCGAAGGCATGAGCGAGCATTTATACGCGAAACATGCAAAACGGTAACGCGGTGCGTGCGAACTTGCTAGTGCTACGCTGGAGCGAGGCTCGGGCTAGTCCCGAAGCGTAGGCCGATACGGCCATGCCAGCAGTGCGAGGTTTGGCAAAACAGTGCGCGCGAAGTCGGCGAAGTTCCGTTAGCAGTAACGGGCGAACAGTCGGCTGTTGCTGTACGCGATGTAGTCGGCTCCGTAAGGAATGCCTGAGAAAATTCCTTACACTACCCCCCCCCCTTAAGAAGCCCCCTCCGCTACGCGAGTGCGTGTATATCGCGGAATCCCCGGCTTCTCAAGTACACTTGCAGGGCAGGGTGATTTTCGATGTTGCTCAGGGGCACCCAGCTATCTTCAGTTGGCGTGCGGTCTTTCCAGCGAACGAGGAATTCAATCCTCCTGATTCCCGTGGGGTGGCGGATCCGATGGCTCAAAAATTTTTCGGGCTCGATGATCGGCTCTGATGCAGGGCGAGTCATTGATTGTGGCCGGTGACGCGGCAGTTGACTCGTGGTCGGGATGTATGGGCGAAGTAGGCTGACGTGGAACGAAGGGCTGATGTACCAGTCAATTGGCAACAGTAGGTGCGCGGTGACGGGTGTGATCATGTGACTGATTTGGAATGGTCCACAGTAGCGCGGTCGTAATTTTGGTACGTCGGGCAGTCGCAGATTTTGCGTGTCGAGTAGCACGTAATCTCCAGATTGATACGTGACGGGGCGGCGGTGGCGATCAGCGTTGCGCTTAGCGATGACGTTGGCCTTTTTTATTGCTTCGGCGGCTCTGGCGCGGGCAGCTTGCAGGATTTCGGCGAATTGTTGTGCGCGTGGCGTTGGGTTGTCCGGACTCGGCGTCATGGGCACTGTGGGGTTCTGCCCATAGTTCAGGTAGAACGGGGACTGCTGCGTCGTGGCTGATGTGGCGTTGTTGTACGCGAACTCGATCAGCGGCAGCTGCTGCTCCCAGGTCGTGGGGTCGTCGCACGTGGCACGAATCAACTGCTCCATCGTCTGATTCGTCCGCTCCGTTTGGCCGTCGGTCTCGGGGTGGTACGACGAACTGAACTGTAGCCTGGTCCCGAACTGCTCCCAGAGGTTCTTCCAGAAGTTGCTGGTAAACTTCGTGTCCCTGTCGCTGATAATTGCTGCTGGTATCCCGTGCAGGCGAACAACGGCTGCGATGAACAGGCGAGCGGTCTCTTCGGCTGAGATCGACTTTTTGCACGCAGCGAAGTGTGCCATCTTCGTCAACCTATCCACGACGACCATCACCGCGTCGTTACCCCCAGGGTTCGAAGGTAACCCTGTGACGAAGTCCATGGTTACTTGCTGCCAGGCGCGTTCGGGCGGTGGGATCGGTTGCAATTGACCCGCCTTCCGCTTCCTTGAACTCTTCATCACCTGACACGTCGGGCACGAGCCCACGTGCTGCTGTACGTCGGTCAACAGCTCCGGCCAGTAATAGTACCGCTGCAGTTGCTGTCGTGTTTTTTCTACCCCGAAATGTCCCGAGGTAATCCCGTCGTGTGCCTCCTGCAGTAGCAGCTCCCTCAGTAGTGAGTACGTGGGTACCCAAATGCGGTTGGTGCCTGTTTTTACGTAATAAACTCCTTTTGCTTCTGCCAGTTGCTGTGAATTTCCGGTCGTGAAAAATGGGTCGGTGCGGTATCCGTGGGTGAATAGGCCAGTTAAAAGCGGGTTGGTCTGGGCGAGTAGGATGGCGTGGAGTTGGGCGGTGGGGCGGGTGAGAGCGTCGGCGATGTTGGATGCTCCTTTTTTGTACGTGACGGTGTAGTGAAAATTGGACTCGAGATAGTCCAACCAGCGAATCTGTCGTGGGTTGAGATTCGGTTGGGCGCGAAGGTACTGTAGCGAGCGGTGGTCTGTCCGTACTGTCACGTCGGCACCAGTCAGGTAACATCGCCAAACTTTGAACGCGTGCACGATCGCTAGCATCTCGCGGTCGTGTATCGGGTAGTTACGTTCGGGCGGGTGTAACTTGCGGGACTCGTACGCGATTGGCTGGAGGCCATTCCCGAAATCCTGCAACAGTACTGCTCCCACAGCGATGTCACTTGCGTCGGTGACGAGCTCGAACGGACGGTGGGGATCTGCAATGTGAAGGACGGGCGGGGAGCACAAAATATTTTTGAGGGCCGAGAAGGCAGCTTGCTCTTTCTCCCCCCACGTGTACTCAACCCCCTTCCTCAGCAGGTCAGTCAACGGGGCAGTCAGTTTCGCCATGTCGGGGACGAACCGGCGCACGTAGTTGACGAACCCCAGGAAACTCTGCAACTCGGTCAAGTTGGTCGGCGCGTGCCAAGCCTGAATCGTCGCAATTTTCTTCGGGTCTATTTCCACTCCTGCAGCTGAAATAACATGTCCCAAAAACTCCAGGCGGTCCTGTAAAAACTCACACTTAGATGCTTTGGTCAGTAGGCGGTTCTCACTCAGGATTTTAAAAACTGCTTCGATGTCTTGTAAGTGCTGTGCTCTGTCAGGGCTGTAAATCAGTATGTCGTCCAGATAAACGATGACGCACTTATCTAAAAGCGGGCGGAATGCTTCGTTCATGGTCATTTGGAAAGTGGCGGGGGCGTTGGTCAGTCCGAATGGCATGACGGTGTATTCGAAGGATCCGTAGCGTGTTCGGAATGCGGTTTTAGGGCAGTCGGGTGGGTTGACGCGGATTTGGTGGTAGCCTCCTCGGAGGTCGATTTTCGAGAAAACCCGGGCTGTGCGCAGTTGGTCGATCAGTTCGTCGGCTCGTGGGATGGGGTAACGGGATTTGATGGTAACCCTGTTCAGTGCCCTGTAGTCGATGCACATGCGAAAACCCCCGTCCTTTTTCGGTGTGAACAGTATTGGTGCGGCGAAAGGCGACGAACTAGGGCGAATGAATTCCTTTTCTAGCAGGTAATCGAGCTGCTTCCTTAGTTCGTCTAGTTCGGGTTGGGTCAGTCGGAACTGTCGCTGTACTGTTGGCTGTGCCCCCGGTTCCAGTTCTATCCTGTGATCGTGCGGTCGCTGAGGTGGCAGTCCCGTCGGCAGGTCATCCGGGAAAATGTCACTGTACTGTTGTAACAGTGCCGCCAGGTCACTCGGTACGTCGGTCAGCAGTTTCTGTAAATCGCCTCCCTTGTCTGCTGCCTCGGCTTCCCGAATGTCAACCGCGTACACGTCGGCTCCGGCCGCAACAGCGCGTTTCATCGTGATCGCGTTGACACGCACCGACGAAGACTCAGGCGAGCCCCAGCGAGGTAAGGCGATGCTGTTACCATTCACTCGCACGGTGCAGTCACCCGTCGTCCAGTCAATTCGCGGGTTGTGTCGTCGCAGCCAATCACGCCCGAGTAAAATGTCGGTTCCGTCGAGGGTCGTTGCGAGCATTTCCTGACTAAACGTGAAGTTACCCCCGCATCGAATCCGAACTCGGTCTACGCGTTCCCGTATTGCCAGCGGCGTGCCGTCTACCAGTCGTGCGTCGATCTCAGGTAAGCATCGGTCCAGTGGCAGTCGCAGTTTTCGTGCTGTAGCAGTGTTAATGAGGCTGTGGCTGGCTCCCCCATCTACGAAGATTTTAACTAAGTCCGTCCCAATTTTCCCACTGAGCAGTATAGGGCTATCTACCGTGGTACCCTCCTTATTCGGCCGGGTGTGGTCGATTGCGTGAACCGGCACAATCACTCGGTGAGGGTCGGTTGGGTCGGGCGAGCGGCGTGACCTGTCAGTAGAGGGCCCGTCTGCTACTGACTTCCAGCGTTTCCCTGCTGCTTGGTCTGTGTCTGCTGCTCAGCTTCCCCCTTTCCCTTAGCGTTTTCCGGGCATTCGCTCTTGCGATGTCCCGGCCGATTGCACGCAAAGCAGCGCCCTTTGAACGGTGCGGCAGCGGCATTTGCGGCGACGGCGCGTATCGTGGCGCTCTCGTTCGTCCCACGAGGCCGATGTCCCCAGGTGTTGTTTCCGTAGGACCCCGGTCTCGGTCGGCGAAAGAAGTCGAGCTTCTCCGCCATAGCGAGAATTTCCTGAAACTCAGTGACGCCGCGAAGCTGGATTTCCTGAGCGATGTCCTGCTTCAGGCCGCCGATGTAGCGGTCGATGCGTTCGCTCTCATGC